CATGAAAGATAATTAACTATATTATCATAATATCAAATCATCTCTAAAAGATAAATTACGAATTTACATGAATTTGAGCAGAACAGTAGCATGTAATTTCAGCCAAACAGTTTCAGAATTTTGCACAGAATTTCAGTTTAGTTTTCTATACACTTTGCAACTCAAATTGAAAGAAATTAACTCACTAAAGGCAAAGGAATTGAGGGTTAGACAATCCTACCTCTTCGAAGCTTGAAAACCCTTGCAAGAACAATTTAAAAGCCACCCAAGGATTGAATCAAAGCTACCCAAAATGATGAAAATGGAAGACCACTTCTTTCTTTTTCAACCAAAACCCTCTTCTTTTAACACCACTTTCCAAACCCAGCAACAAAAGAAATGGACTCAAGTTTGATATCAAAAGAACCCTCACTACCCAAGGAACATTTTTCCTTCACAAAGCCCCATCAAAATCCCAACACAAAGCTTCCAAAATTTAGCTTAAAAAGTATCACTATGGAAAGGAAATAGAAAAATTGGTTTTCTGCAGAATGTTTTCTAGGAACAAAACAATAGTCATACCATATGCTATAAAATGAATATGGTGCAGCCACATACACCCACACATGTCAAGCCTACAATTAGTCAAAGGTAAGACCAAGCAAAATGACTAAAATGTCCTTCCATTATTTCTAAATGCCAATTATGCCATTTGCATAATAAAAGTCTACTTTGCCCTTTATAAAATAATCAAATACCATATATGCCATTTGTAAAACAAAAAGTCTATAATACCCTCTAACAATTTCTAAATACCAACTATGTCCTTTGCATGGCAAAAAGTCCACAATACCCCTCACAAAATAAATAAATGTCATTTACACAATAAAAGTCAATAATGCCCCTCATAAAATAATTAAATGACATTTAAATAAAATAACCACATTTGCAATTAATCATAATCCCAACAATAAAATAAAATGCATAAATGCCAACATGTTCAAAAAATGTTAAAAATGCAAGTCCTCACAGTAGCACCAAAGTCTTTGCCCGGAATCTGAGTAAAGCCTTTTGCCACCAACTGAGCCTTATACCGACCAATAGATCCATCGGCTAAGTACTTCACAGTGAAGACCAATTTGCAGCCAACCGTTTTCTTCCCAGCAGGTAAAGCAACAAGTTCCCATGTATTATTACACTGTAAAGCATCCATTTCTGATGTCATAACAGACACCCAATGGGGATCTTGGAGGGCCTCTGACACTGATTGAGGAATAGAAACGGTCCCAATCTTGCCCAGGAAGGATTTATATGCACCTGAAAAACCATCATAAAAGACATACCGGGAAATAGGGTGGTTAGTGCTATTAGAGAAACCATACCAATTAGGAGGGTGACGATCGCGGGTAGGATAACGAGATGTATGCTCAGGAATGGTAGGAGCCACAGGAGAAAGAGAGTTACCTGGACCTGGTTCTGATGATGATTCTGGCAGGGGAGTTTGAGTGCGATGGCGACAAGAGTAGACCTGCAAAGGTGGAGGGGAACCCTGCATGGATGGAGAAGGAAATTCCAGGATAGTGTGATTTTCAAAAAGAGGAATAGGACGGGCAATAGGAGAGATCTCCTTCTCTATACCACAAGAGAGAGAATCCTATACCACAAAATTAGTACTATAAAAAGAAACAGTTTCATGAAATGTCACATCAAGAGAATGATACATATGTTTGGCTATAGGATCTTATCAGCGATAGCTATTTGACATAGCAAAATATCCCAAAAAAATACACCTAATAGATTTATCATCAAGTTTATGACGAGAAGGACTACGGTTTTGAACAAAACAAGTATAGCCAAAAACACGAGGCAAAAGGTGAAACAATGTATAATCAAGCTGAAAAATCTGAAGTGGGGCCTTACCACCTAAAACTCGACTGAGAGTACGATTAATTAGAAAAGCAGCTGTAAGAACAGCCATATACCAATAGAATTTAGGCACATGCATGCCACTCAGAAGACATCGGACCACAGACATAAGATGACGGTTTTTGCATTTTGCCACACCATTTTGCTTAAGAGTGTAGGGGCAAGTGAGTTGATGTAAAATCCCCTTTTTATTAAGTTCAGTCCGGAACTCATTCGAAACATATTCACGTCCATTATCAGAACAAATATTACGGGCAACAGTGTTATACTGGGTTTTGATCATTTGAAGAAACTGGGTAAATAAAAAAAGCACATCAAATTTGTTTTTCAATAAATAAACCAAGTACAACGAGAATAATCATCAATAAATGTCACATAATATAGATGCCCAAAAAAAGCAGTAACTGGGGAAGGGCCCCAAACATCATAATAAATAAGATCAAACATACTAGGAGCACGACTCATATGAGAAATATAGCTAGTTCTAGTATGTTTAGAAAGCTCATAAACTTCACATTGAAACTTATGGCCCTTACATGCTTTATTTAACGAAGGAAACAATAAACATATATACTGAAAGTTTACATACCCCAAACGTGCATGCCAAAACTAAAAGTGCGAAAAGAAACATCATAAGCACTAGAAGCAGGTAGGACAGAAGCTTGAAGACCCGTTCCTGGTGGTTCCCCAAAGTAGTAAAGCCCATCACGCTCATAACCCCTGCCAAAAATCCTCTTCGAACAAAGGTCCTGCAATAGACAGTGATCTGGTAAGAATATAACTGCACATTGGAGGTTTTTTGCAAGCCGGCTAACAGATAAAAGGTTAAAGGCAAATTTAGATACATGAAGGACAGATGAAAGAGTAATATCAGGAGACAAACAAACATCACCCTTATTGTGAATGTAAGATGTAGAGCCATCCGCAAGATAGATAGATTGGGTAACAAGTATGACATTGGAAGAAAAAACTGATAACTCACCAGTCATGTGATCATTGCCCCTGAATCCAGAACCCAAGGAAGCTGCTTGGCCTTAACATGAAATGCAGTAGGAGTACCTGTAGCAATAGTGGCAGTGGGAGCAGCTGAAGGAGCACCAACTCTAGAAGTAAGGGAGCCAAGCTGGTCCTGGATCTGCCCAATTTGAGACTGAAGCTGGCTCAGTCCAGGAAATATAGTAGATCCACTAGTAGTAGCAGGAGTCTCTGTAACAATAGCAGTACAAGAAGAACCACTTCCAAATAAACGGTTCCTAAAAAATTTCTACTTCAGTTCAGGATAAAAACAGCAAGTCTTAACATGTCCAACCCCTTCACAATGGTGACAAATAATCTAACCTCTAGAAGTACGCGATCCAAAGTTGGCTGCAAAAGCCATACTATCCCCAGCAGGCTCAGACACTGGTAGAGGAACAAGTAAGGGCTGAATTAAACGGTGTCTGCGTTCTTCACCATCAATAGTAGCAAAGGCCTCCAACAGGGCATAATCCTATCGAAAACTGATAGCTATGCTGACGATCAAGATGTTTGACAAAAAGAGAGGCTGCCTCGGCATTAAATTCACTAAGAGGCTCATATTGAGCCAGTTCCTCCCAACGAGATCTCAAATACCCAAAGTAATTAGCAACAGACAAATTCAGGCCTTCCTGCAATGCCTTAGCAATATCTTGGTATAATTCAAAAATACAAGCATCATTCTTAGAATGAGCATACATTTGATTCAAAGCAGTCCACAAGTCATTAACGGAGTTATAAAACATGAATATATTATAAATTCGTTCCTCCATAGAATTAAACATCCATCCTAAAATGGTGCAATTATCCATATCCCACTGAGCCTATTTAGGATCTTTAATATCTGGCATCTTTTCAGTGCCCAAAAGCCACCCTGATTTGCCTTTTCCACCAACATAAAGGCGGAGGGAACGAGCCCAAGATGCAAAGTTACGGCCATTCAACAGCACACTAGTAACTCGTTGAGCCGATGTGTGTTGCGCCGAAGAGAGAGTTTCTTTATTATTACTTGAATTAGCCATAATATTAAAAAAAACAATTCAACAGATCACCAATAATTTCAAATAAAGGAGGAATAAACCTGATTTTTATCAAACCAAGAAGCTGGAGACACGGTGGTTCGATCCAAAAATGCTGCTGAATATCTCAGCAGTCCCAAAAAATTGCAAACAAGTCTTCTGACCCTTAGTGTATGAAAAAGATTAAGGGAATACCCCTACAGGGGTCGAACCTAGAGGAGATTGGCTACCCCTAGGACTGTCACAACAGCGACCTGAAGAAGAGAGAGGGTCTGTGAAGAAAAGAAAAAAAGAAAGAGGGAAGGGGCTGTGATGAGATAGAGAGAGAGAGATCAAAAGAGGCGGTGAAAGAGAGAGAGAGAGGGGAGGCGTAGGTTTGAGGCTTTGATACCAAAAAGTAACTCGGTAAAATTGCCGTACTCAATTTGAGAGCCTGACTCTCATTATATACAGGAGGAAAATTACAAATATGGAAAGAAAATAAAATCAAATCAGAATAAAGAGAATAAAATCAAATCGGAATAAAAATAAAATCCCTAAACATTAGCCTATAATGAAGACCCAATAAATCTGCCACAGTCATTGAGTCAACTTATAGATATGATTTCCAACAATAACATTGCTTTTTTTTTTTCCTTTGGTTATGTCCTCACCGTTCTGTTTCATTCTTCTTTAATATTTACCGTGTCTCGTAATGTTTGTGTTATGTGTACTCATTCATGCTTCGTGTTTCTCTATCATAACCAAACAGTCCTGTCCTAACAAGTGGGCAAGCACATTGATGTCTATTGCCACTTCATTGAAGGGAATTAGGTTTTGATCTTCTTACATATTGTTCAAGTTTTGGTCAATCAAAACTTATATACATCATATGTACTGACTTACAAACTTATACATAAAGATACATAACCTTGTATGTATATTTATTTGTAGACCTCCATTTTGATAGATATATGTTTACAGTTACTGTATATCCAAACATGCAACTATACGGTGCCTAATTTTATATGTTAATCATATGTTTGATAGTTTTGAACATAAAATGTGTTTCACTGACTGCAGTATGTGGAAAAACGTTTCGTTTACAAAGTAAATGTGAAACAGAATCTTCTTTCAATGGCAAAGAAGTTGTGGGATAGTGTCCGTACTAATGACAAGAAAGACGTTTACCGCCAACTTGTCATCTTTGAAGCAGAAGTCAATGCTATCCATGGACAAGACTCACATAATTCATCTTCAAATTTATTTAAAGTAATGCGATTGCAAGAGCATGCAAGCATGAAGAAAAAATCTGATTCATTATCGGGTGATTCTTCCGATAAGACCTCCTTAAATTCTTTGAACTTGCTAAGAGAAAGGAAAGATCAATTAATTAATGGATTTTTCGATGGCTGTTCACTGCTTCACCTGGCATGCCAAACTGCTGACATTGGCATGGTAGAGCTACTCCTACAGCATGGTGCAAATGTAAATGCTTCTGATTCAAGAGGTCAGACACCACTGCATCATAGTATTATCAGAGGAAGAATTTCAATTATTAAACTTCTTCTTACCAGGTGGTTCTTTTTCTCTTATATCTTTAAGTTTAGTTTTTATTTATTTATTTGTGGAGTTTACGTTTATGTCTCTCCATTTGGGGATGGTATGTTCCTGGTATACAATATGCAACATTTTCTTTTCTTTTGTGTTTTATGTTGTAAGAATTTCTTTAGGCTTTGGAAAATTTTGGATCTTTCTAGTTAGTTATTTGTAGGTTGTTACCTATTATATCATCCTACTTTATTTGCATCTGACTTCATAATATTATATAGGAGCAAGAATTAATTTAAAGACACAATAGGTTGATATGTCAAAATTTTAGACCGTGCTTAAGTTCCACCTTCACTCACATTTTGTTTGCTTACGTTAACTAGATTACAAGGTTGTTCCTTGCTTTGTATAATATTTAATATGTTAATTTTGTCTTAAATCCTTGTAACTTTATTTCGTCTAGAGTAGCTTATGATATATAATGGATATACATGATATTCTTTGGGTATTGATTTTTTTAAAGCTGTCTGGTGGAAGTATTATTTATGTTTGGACTTTCCACAATCTTTTTTGTATATAAATGCAACTGAATACCCTCTGTTAGACTTGTACTTGCAGTTTTTATATATGAATACCCTGAGTTACCTACCAAAAAGATGGTGGAAGAAAAAATATTCTGAAATGAAAATTTTATTGACCATCTATCTTGTAGAACTTGTTTATTATATTTCCTTTACTAGTGACGCTGACTGAAAGTCCTCCTGATCTTTGGTATCTTAAGTAAAAAAACAAACAAAATAAATGTTGAACTGCAGGAAGTTATTAACCTAATATTATTGCATTACCTCAGTCCTTAATGAAACAAGATATATCTGAATTTTAAAACTACTAGATCGATGATGTATTTCAGTTAAAAATCGTATTTGCAACCAACTATTTATTATTATTATTTTTGAATTACCGTTATTCCTTGATAATTGTGATCTGAATTTCAGATCATATTGGTTAGGTTTCAAATGTTTTAACACATTCACAGCCATGCATCCATAAAAAGTAAAGCAAAGCATAGACACAACTTTTTTACGTGACAACCCTAAATATGGAGAACTTATGGGACCTAGTCCAGTTAGGAATAGTCCTCTAGATGAGAAATGAGTTACAACTAGGTTAACAGCTCTCACACCCTAAAACTCCTAGTTACAGCTTGATGCATACTGACATCAAATTTTTCACTGAAGTCTCTAGGCCATCTGGCCAGCCACTTGTCCACAGGCTTTGCTCCTTTTGAATCTGCTTCTATAATGGTTGTCCATCCTTCTTATTTTATTAGGTTTTCTTATGGTGTTAGTTTCTTATAGTATTAGGTTTTCTCTATTACAAATATGCATGTAATACAAGAGAGCAGAATTAATGAATTTAATTATAAATAATATATCAGATTGTTCTGCAATTTTCTCTTAACTTTGTTGATTCAAAGTTGTTCTCTTGTCCATTCGTGAACATTTATAGCTTCTGCTCTGTCAATATATATATATATAGAGAGAGAGAGAGAGACTGTGTGGTGGGTTAAGCAATATATATATAGCTTCTGCTTCTGCTGTGTCTTTTTTTGTCTTTTCACTTCGTCTAAATTTTTTATTTTTTCCTTTACCTTATTTTTCAATAAGGGCATTTTTGTCATTTTGCTGCTTCATTAACAATACAGTGATGGAATGTTATTATTTGCACAATTTCAAAAGGTCAGGCTGTTTATTACACGTTAGGGTGTATTTACACAATTTTTATATAGCAGGGGATTTTTTTGCACTTTACCCAACATGTAATGGTGTCTAAAGAAATCCTAGATTGAGTAATTGGGGAATTTTGCTCTCCCAAGGATTTTCTCTCTTTAGATGATTAGAGGCCTCAAAATCATTACGTAGAATGACTATAATCCAATATAGATAGCCCATACATTTTTGTAAGTTAAATCCTTGTAGAAATTTATTTCTAGAGTTCTAAAATTATAGGTCTGAAGCATTTAATCCATTGGGACTTCGATCAAGCACCGCTAAAAAAGTTTTGATCAATCGAGGCATATTGGATTTAAAGATTGTTTTTCGAAAAAATATTGATCGATCACCATTTGATCGTCAGCTGTGGAAGATGTTAGATCGATCGACATCTCCTTTTTATAAAGATTTTTAAATTTTCAAATAAGTTGAATCCTTTGTTTTCAAAAGCCTTTTTCTAAAAAAAACTCTTCTAAATCAAAATATTGAGCCTCTCCAAGATCAATTTAGGTCAAATAAAGTCTTTCTAAGGTTGATTTACATATTATGCCCTAGATATATTATTGAGGATGCAAATTTTCGCATGTTCTTCACAATTCTTTGTTTCTGTTTGTCTTCAATGCTTGTACTAATGTGACTCAAAGACACTTTGACACATTACAACCGAAGTTTTGAGTAGGAAATTGCCACACGACTCATATACCTAACAATACCAACCAAAAAAAAAAAAAAAAATTACAATAGAAAACCAAAAATTATAGAGGACATATTACCTAAAATAAAATAAAATAATAAATTGCCACGCCTCCTGGTTGGATCTCTTTAGTACCGACTCTGACCCATCCAAATATGGCATCTACAGTTCATCATGTTGCTCAGTTTATGAGTGCCCCTTGAACAATCTTGCTTCTGTTAAGCGCATTCTGCGCTATCTCAGTGGCACTTTGGATCTTGGATTGGTGTTTCGCCCTTTCTCCGGGGCTTTAGTCCTTCATTCCTTGTCTGATGTTGATTGGGCTGGTTGTCATGATACTCGGCGTTCCACTTTTGGCTACTATGTTTTCTTGGGCCCGAATCTCATTTCTTAGAGTTCTAAGACACAACCTACAGTTTCTCATTCAAGTTCTGAGTCTGAGTAGCGCTCACTCGATCATGTCTGTGCAGAGACTGTTTGGATACGACACCTTCTATGTGAGCTTCATGTGCTTCTCTCCACACCTGTCATGCTGTACTGTGAGAACCACAGCACTACTTACATGGCATCCAATCGTGTCTTCCATGCTCGCACCAAGCATACTGAGCTTGATTATCACTTCAGTCGGGAACTTGTTCTCTATGGTAACCACAGCACTACTTACATGGCATCCAATCGTGTCTTCCATGCTCGCACCAAGCATACTGAGCTTGATTATCACTTCAGTCGGGAACTTGTTCTCTATGGTAACCATCGTGTTCAATTTGTTACTTCTGCCGACCAAACTGCAGATATCTTCACTAAGGGGGTTCACAAGCATTGCTTTGAGCTTCTATATTCCCAACTCATCCTCCCTAGACTGTTGATTTTGCGGGTGAGTGTTAGACAATCCCCTTAGATTTAGGCGTGATATTAGCTTGTCTATTTGCATATCTTCTGTCACATATGTTTAGGCTTAATTATAGGCTATGTTAGATAGCTCCCTCAGATTTAGGCTTGATATTAGTTTGTCTATTTGCATATCTTCTATTACATATGTTTAGGCTTAATTATAGGCTTAGCTTACATTTATTCTTAGATTTAGGCTTGCCTATATGAGCTTGCATTGGATTGAATGATTTAAATGATTTCGATCATAAATTTTTCTGGAAGATCAGATTTGGCCTATATAACCTAATTTGAATGAGAAAAATTGGATTAAAAAAATTGGCCAAATTAAGAACAATCAGATTCATAATTTAGTTGTTAAAAAGATTCATGATTCAGTTAAAAACTGCGGTTTTAATAATCTTTTTATTATTTTGGCTGGAAATTCAGTATCATTGTGCAGAAATTTGGTTGAACTTTGCAGAACTTCTGTCAAAAAACAGGAAAATTTTAATCAAATATTCATAAAAGAATTTGTTTGAAGACTGAAAATTCAGTGAGATGGATCCAGATTTAACTTTCGAATTGACTGAAGATTGAAATAGAAAACCATGGAAGAAAGATGATTAATTATTATATTTATTAATAGTGATCAGTAGAATTGTTCCTATCTGAGTTCATATACCATTTTCCAGATCTGCTCCTTCACATTCTGTTGAATGATATGGCAAGTCATACTAAAAGTGGACAGGGGAGTTCTCAAGTCCTCTTTTAAGGTGTGATTGTGTGAACGTTCAATCCAGATGGTTTACAATGTACCAAATTCTCTGTATGGTTTCAATTTTTTTGTGGTTCCATCTAATCCCATTGAAAACTTCTCCCTTATTTGGTTACATGTAATTTCAGTCTCTCGAGGGATAAAGAAGAGGTTTGAAATTATTTTTTCTATCCTGTTCTTGGTAATGAGAGTGATTGGCAAAGTCATTATATATCTGTGTTTCAGTATGCAGATGAGGTCCCAAAGTATTGAGATTGCATCTTGAAACTATATCTTCTGATATTGATCTAAATCATCTTTGTACTATGGCACGTCTCCTTCCATTTTGTTAACTATTCACCGAATTACTAAGAAAAGTATGCCCTCTTTGTTACCAATTTGGTTGCAGGGGATCCAATCCACAAGCTGTTGATAAAGAAGGCAAAACCCCTTGCCAGCTTCTTTCAGAATCACACTTGGATGATGTTGAGATCCTTACTCTTTTGAAAAACACGAACAGATAGCATTCTGTACAACATTACAAGGATCACTCATAGGCAGATTAACAAAGTCGGCAGAAGTCTTGCAATAGATAGAGAGGACTAAAATCAGTTTGGAATGCAAGAGTTCTCTGGTTGGCTCATTGCGTCATAAACGTCTTTCCACTTCAGATCCGCAAGTTCTCCTCTGGGTTGAGAGCTTTGTTAGGACGCTGTGTGTTGTAAGGTACTTTTTATGTAGACATCCCATTTTGCCTTACCAATTTGAAATTTTATTTTGGAAATGATTTTTGGAAGGTTATAGAAGGGGTTTTTCTATGGTTGTATATTGGTCCTCAGTTATTCTAATATGGGCATTGGAAGCTTCCTCGGATCATGACATTAAACAATGTGAGTCAGAACCTAAAGAGATGGAACTATTAGATGTAAGATGGAGCTGAAATGTGGCTCCTGAAATTTAATTAGGGTTAATTGCACTAACCTCCTTCAAGGTAAGGTATCGTCAATATACATCTCCCCCATTGATTGCCAAATTACACTGACCTCCCCTGTCAAACGTGTCAAGTGGATGGTGTTAACGATCCTTGTGTAATTACGTATCTGTCCTTATTATAATAAACATGGTTTTTGAAAAAGACCAAAATGCCCATATGTCAAATCACCTTTGCAACGGCACTTCTGTGTACAAGACTTCAACTTCATATATATTGGAGGCTGTCCTTGAAAACTTGGCATTTGACTGTTCAGTTTTAATGTCCATTTGAGTTCATAGATAATATACTGAGTTTACATGTAAGCGAACTTAATTACAGTTGAGCTTGTAAAAGTGATGCACGGGTGTTCAACATTGTGTGTCAATAGTACGTGTTCCCCATCGTCATACTTTTGTTCTTGAAGAGCAACAGTTTTTCCGCTTGCTAACGTGCATCTGCAATGTGATCACCCAAGGTTGGGAGCTGTCCACTCTCATACTTATAGTAGTGCTTTCGCAAACAGCTTCCCAACAGGTACAATTTGGTGGAAACATCAAAATTTTATGGTTAGAGCATTCCAAATGCGGCAAACATTCTCTTTATTTACTAATTTAACTTCTCTGTTCGAAGCAATGGTGAGATTACTATCATAGTTAACTGTAATACACTCTCTCTGGTAGCCTAGGCCGTATATTTACTTGGTTTTATTTCTCACTAATCAGAGAAGATCTACTTTGACTACTTTCTCTTATGTATTTGTGTATATATTCTGTGCTGTTGGTCTCTCCTGTTGGTAGTTTGTTGCTGATGAAAAAGTTGAAAAATTGTTCGAAATTTGTGTTTGGATGGTTGGTGATTCAACGATATTGTAGTGTATGAAATGAGTTTGGATTGTGGAAGCTATGGATAAGGAGGTATACTGAAAACGATACAGCATTACATCAGCAAACAGAGGTAGAGTTTTCGGACTTCAAAATTTAAGAGAAGAGAAGAACCCATAATCTATATATATAACACACGTTTCAGAGAAGGGAAGAACTGAAAAACTCAAACTTTGGAGAGAGAGAGAGATGTGGGTTTTATACATCTATATATATATATATATATATGGGTTAAGTGCAAAAACAAAATCCCTTCCTATATAAAAAATGTGCAAGAAGCACTCCTATTAGAAAAAAAAGTACATATAATCACCTTGTATTTTTCTTCTTTTGAACAATATGCCCCCTACTGAGTGGATTCATTGAAAAAAAGCCGTTGGTGACATCATTTAAAAAAGAAAAAAAATTCAAAAGTGCCCTTTCTGTGTGACAAGAATGTCTCTACTAATTTTGTATATATTTGAATACTGAATGAGTTTGTTTGGATGTACTTCAAGACCTGTCCAAGGAAAACTCTATGTGTATCACCATAATCTCTCTTTCTAAAAATATATATATTCTCTCTCTAAAATATCTCGCAACCGTTGATTCTCTCTCTAATTTTTTTTTTCTCTAAAATATCTTTTTGTGCCGCCATATTATATCTCTTTCCTTTTTTTCTCTCTCTCGCCAATATTATCTCCACTAAATAATAGTTGCATTATATTTTCTTGTAAATGAATGAGCCTCCCTTAATTATATATTTATATATAATAATAATAATTAAATAAACGAATTTGTTTTGACACAAATTATTATCAGATGAACTTAGGATTTCTATCAAAATTAAAATTTTGATCTAATTACTCTTCAGCTGGACACAAACTTAAGCAACATATTTTTACAAAAAATTGTTTATTTTATTTTATTAATATCGATATTTTTACCATATCGTGTTCTCTATAATAAACAAGCACAAGGCTTTAATATCACGTGAGCCAAACTTTTTGAGTTTCCCATTAACTTTTTTTTTTTCTCCTAGTTGGTTTACCATTAACTTTTTAATTACAATTTTTCAAAAATCATTAATAAGTGGGATAAAATGCAGTTAAAAAATATATATTATTTATAAGTGAGATTGACGTGTAGTTAGTGAATTATGATTTGTCCTTATTTGCACAAATTAAAAACAATAGGAGTTTTTTTTTACACTCAACCATATATATACATATATATTTATATGGGAGAAGCTGTGTGTGTGAGAGAGATTAATTTAAATAAGCAGTGTGTGTGGGAGAGATGAATTCACACTGCTTCTCCTATATATATATATATATATATATATATATATATATATATATATATGGTTAAGTGCAAATTGCTTTCATTTCAAGTGGTATCAGAAACTCAGGTGATTTTTATCTAATAATGATGAAGATTTGATTTATTGATTCCTGTTCAAGTATGTGTGTACATGTTATTCATGGCCTCATGGTGTGTTTTTATTTATTCCATGAATATATATTATTTCTTTTGTTTGATCAGAACTATGCCATGGAATTAAATATATAGATCAAAATATATTAGTTAAAGAGGCTGTTGACAGATGGCAAGTGTAACAATAGAAGCGTGGAGAACTTTAGAAAAAGTAGGAACTGATTGACTGATAAGTTTATTCAATAAAATTCTAAAAGAAAAAATAATCCTAGTGAATGGAGAAGAAAATACTATAGTATTAATTTTGTAAATATAAAAGTGATATAAAAAATTGTTGTAATTATCAAGGAATTAAACTAACGAGTGATACAATGAAACTAATAAAGATTAAAAAATGAATCCCCATTGTTTGAAAATCATTTTGGATTTATGCTATGAAGGTTATTTATTTAATTAGACAATTGATAGAAATTATAAATAATAATAAAAAAAGATTTGCAGATGGTTTTTGTCTTAGAGCAGACATATGATAGAGTATCAAAAAATATAATTTGGTAAACTCTTTAAAGAAAAAGAGTCCCTTTAAAATTTAATAAAAATTATTAAAGATATTAAAATAAGACAAACATTGAAGTTCTTAACATATGCAAAAAGATTATTGTTAAGAAAAAATCTAATACATGAGCAGCTGCTATTGCGAGGTTTGGAGTTGTACGTAGTCCTATCTTTGCATATGGAGAGGTAATTTCGTGATGTGTGTTATCTGAATTTTGCTTCGGCCCGATTGCATCGCGGTTGCCCTTAAAATACTCTTTTATAGGACAATATATAAATGGTGAAATATTTTGCTAAATCTTTACCGTTGACGTAAGCTTTGTTGAACCATGTAAATCTGTGTATGACATGCTTACTCTTCTGTTGTGATTCTTGATTGTATTATTGGTTAGTGGTAATTGTCTAACAATTTTCTTGTTCCGAATTTGTAACCTTGAGATTACAATAGAATAATTTTATCGTAGTGTCAACGCCTTCACCTCGTATCAATAACGAATACATACAAGAAGACACTCCATGGAACATATTATTCATTGGTTACATAGTTGTGGAACATATTTTTTGCTGATGATCTTGAGAACATAATTAGGAATTTGAAGAAATGCATTGAAAATGAAAGGATGAAGAATTAGTAAGACTAAGATGTAAATTTAATAAAGTTTGAGAAAGTAATAATATGATTAACAATTCAAGACGAAATGATTCCTTCGAATAATCAATTTTCATACTTAGGATCAATAATACAAAGATAAAAAGTAAAAAGAAACAATGATGTTGCTAGAATGATTGTGGAGTATGAACAAAATGAGGATGAAAGGGCAGATTTACCCTTAAATGCCTTTCCATTTCCCACACCCTACTGTTATGGGCTGGGCTCATGTCAGCCCGATCAGCCCATGTGGAAGTCCACCAGCTCAAAGTCCAATCAGATGCTGCCCGGCCCATGTACAAAAAGAGGCCCAAAAACGGTGCAACGAGGTAAAGACAAATGATGTATAAATAGGGTAAAAGAGGAGAGAAGAGGCAGAGTGTTTGGTGTAAAAGAAAAACTTTCCATCAATAGAAAAAATAATTCATGCATCTACAGAGGACATGTTAGCAGTATCATATGAGATTGAACCCAAAAAAAAAAGTACCAAATAAGTTATAAGGAAAATCTTATAGGACAGTTTTTAAGCCAATTACCAATGCATTCATGTAGCTGAATGAGAATCTTGAGATGGATGAAAGCAGTGATTAGAAGAGAGAGATTTATTACTCAAAATATAAGGGAGAAATTAGGAAAAATCCCTATTAGTGACAAAATAAGAGAACATGAAGATTACTTTCTAATTAAAGTGCAAGTGAAAGATTATAAATAATGCCTAATTAGTAACAAAAATAAGGGAAAGCAAGGCTTATGCAATATAGCCACATAAAATGGAGACTTGCTGATGCACCAGTGAGAGAAGGCAGGTTAATTTGCAGAGAAAGTAAGAGAGTGGATTGACCAGAAAAGACTTAGATGAAATAATTAGAAATGATTTTAAAAGTTAAATACGCGGGGTGTAATAAAATAGATCATGTTATTGACCATCACTTGGGATAAAGGATCCTGGATAAAGAAAAGGATCGATGATGACGACGATGACATGCGAAATGGGAATAAAAGAGAGAATGCTAGATAAGTTGCTCATTTTATGCTACTATCATTCCACATTTCATCAAAATGCATGTTAGTAATGCAATGCTGCAATTAGCCTAACTAAATCCAGTTGCAAAAGTAATAAATGTATGGCAATCCAAGGAGTTGATTTATTCCAAAGCAGAAAAAGTTAAAGGTTAATAGGGTCACTAGTTGTGCATCAATTTATCTTACCTCTTTTCCTCTTATTGTAAAGCAAAAGTATAGCACACGAACATGTAGTGGAGAGGATTCGGTTTCTTGTATAAGCTAGGGTATTGCGTATGTGCTTCTAATGTTATTTCGTACTAAAACAGGCTTTTGTGTTTTCTTGGAATCATCCATGAACTTCCGTCTATTTAAATCTTTTTTCAAATAACCAACTTTGATGTCAAAATCATCATTTACCTCTAAAAAAAATACTCGATTTAAATGACTACTGCTCAATGCGGTTTGGTTGCCTTAAAGTGAACAAGTCAAATGACGGTGGTGCCATCTTTTCATATGGCAGGAGAGAAACTCAACAGATAGCTAGCATTCAGGAGCAAGAGTATGTTCATATCTCAACAAATCATCAAGTTAATTAGGAGCTGCATCAGAAATTGACTTTGCTTCTATCATGTTGAAGGAGAAGTCCAACCCCCCTATACTATTATAAAAAGATAATACCTATAAATAATAGAATTTACTTTGTTTCGCTAATTCAATTGTCCAGTATATTATTGGAGGGCATTACCTTCCATTTTCATGTTAGTGCGAACAAACAAACAAAAAAAAAAAAAAAAAACCAAGTTTGTTCTTTCTTTGGCTAGATATTTTAAAGTATCTTTTAAAAATACCATGTGCCATCTGTCCCATTTCCCAAGAGGTAAATGGGGAAATGGAATGTCAGTTTTGTATCGTAACTAAAAGTACTAAACAGTTATTACTACACTATCAGAGTTTAATTAATGAAATGCTAAAGTTATTTAAAAAATATAAACAAGCATCATTTGATGAGTTCATGTATTTACTGAAATTTCATGCAAAGAACAACCCTCGAGCCCCTAATCCAGAAATTTGATTATAAGGATCTTCAGGGAATCATTTCCTCCACACTTTTCGTCTTCCTGAATTTGCCTGGTAGAGTTTATGGTAGAATCAGTACACCAACTTGCTTCAGTCATCTGTAGTGTGGATATATCTCCTAATTCAAATGGGATCTCCTTGAGTTGTTGACACCTATGTAGCACTAAATGTTGAAGGCTTGGAAAATGATTTCCGGATGCATTCCATTGCTCAATATTCATGTAATGAAATTTGAGGAATTTGAGTCCGCAAAACCCATCATCACCAAAACATAGTAAATTCTGTAATTTATATTGAACTCTGAACAATTGTGGATCTGTAACTTTTTTCAATAAAATAACTTTATTGTTGTACTAAGGCCTTAGCCTTAGATGAATAACGAAGACATACAAGAAAGACACCCCATGGAACATATTATTTACTGGTTACATAGTTATGGAACATATTTTTTGTTGGTGATCATGAGAACATAATTAGGAATTTGAAGAAATGCATTGAAAATGAAAGGACAAAGAATTAGTAAGACTTAGATGTAAATTTAAGAGTTAAGTGCAAAAAAATCCCTTTACTGTCGATACAGTGTAAAAAGGTCCCTATATAATATAAAAGGTCAAGTGTAAAAAAACACCCCTGAAGTATGTTTATAATGCATATTACACCTTTCACGTGCAAAAAAACACCTCTCAAGTTTCAATTTGGTACAATTAGGTCCGCCTGACACATTTTAAATTTAAATTGACCAAATTACCCTTATTGAATAATTTTATAAAATACATAAAAATAATTTTTTTTTGTAAAAAGACTAAAATGGACATTATTTTTCCCCTCACAGGTCTGGTTCATCTCTGCATTTGCTTCTTGTCTTTGACTAGGGTATTCAAGAAAAGAGAGTTCATCCATTTCAATCAATCCGTGTGATCAAAGCGAACCTCTGGATTGACCCGCGCCAAGCCTCGTCGTTTAGGTTTAGGCGAATGCTTCTACATGCCCAACTGCGTTGTCTTTATTAGCGCGCTTTTGCAATGATTTTCAGTAAGGTCACTTTCCGTTGATGGGAAATCACTTCTCCGTTGTTGCTGACCGGGGAAGAGTTACAGGCAAATTTTGTTTTTGTTTTTTTTTTTTTTAAAAAAACCCAAACTTCTCTGCAAAATCAAACCCAAACCATCACCACCATCAACCCAAACCCAAAAGCCCAGTTCGAAGACTGCAAATCAACCACCACCGGACCCGTGATTTTTTTACATGTTTTTGTCCGTTGCTTCGACCATTGCCGTCGGAAATCACATCCCTCACCAGACCCATCAAGCTCATGGCCGATTCAGTTCTTCCTTGACTGTCGTTCCTCTCACCGCCGAGCCCTTCCTTGCTCTCTGGCCACCGATCCGCGCTCTCTGCCGCGAACCGTCCTTGTCGCCACCTCTCGCCAGATCCGTCCTCGCCTGATCCATCAGCGCCGAGCACCTCCTTGCGTCGGCTGTACAGACCCACTTGGGTCAAAACCGGTAAAGCCAACCGGCCAATTCATGCTCGCCGGTCCATTCCGTCACCGAAGGCCTGCTCTTCCTCCATATGACGTCAAGCCACGATGCCGATGGTGAATCCGGTTAATGGCACCGGTGGAGACCTTCCTCTATATGGGCAGTGAAGAGGATGATTGCGCGGGCATTTTGGAAAGAATAAAAGGGTAAAATGGGTATTACAGTATTAATTTATTTCAAATTTTTGACCGAGGGGTAAATTTGCACAATATCAAAAGATTAAGGGTGTTTATTGCATATTTTTTCAAATAGGGGTTAAAAGTGCTACGAATAGTATACTTGAGGGGTGTTTTTTGCACTTACCCCTAATATAAAACCCCCTTATACTATTAATTTGGTGCAAATAGGTCCATGTGTGGTATAAAATGACATTAATACCCTCATTTCAGTTGAATAAATTAATAACTATATATACAAATCATGTAAAGTGACCATTTTGTTCAATTTGTGTAAAATTGTGTTTGTTTGAGACCAGAATAAAATAAACCAAAAGAAATCTAAAACTGGATATAATAAAAACCGAAACCAAACAATCCCCTGTATAAGACACACTTATGCAGCCGCCAGTGAACGACCTCGTAAACTTGGTAAAGCGGCTTTGCTCCTCGCCTTTTTTCAATTATAAAGAAAGAACCACTTTGATGGAGATTTATAGCATCATTCAAGTAAATACAGATTAAGATCGTAGAAACATGAGCTTGTGATATAGCTACACCTAATTCCGGACCAGTTAATGCAAGAACTATAAATAAAGGACCAGGATCTCCTATGAAATATAAAAGATCATTCATACATAGCATAGTCCAAGCGAAACCACTTAAAATCTTTACTGAACTATGCCCGGCCATCATATTAGCAAATAACCGTATTCCTAAACTTAATGCACGAAAACAATGAGGGATTAGCTCAAGGAGTACTAAAAAAGGTGCTAACGGCAGTGGTACTCCTGCGGGTAATGAGAAGCTTAAAAAATGGGAATCCGAGTGATCGAAGGTGTCCAGAGGTGGTGGAATCAAATAGCATTTGATGACAAATCAAATATAGAAAACAATAGTTTGATTGCTGCTAACTCTCTAGCTTTCCAATCACAACTGGAAAAATTCTCATTTGTTGATGCATCTGGAATAATCCTCTATCGGTGGCTTACTTTTCATATACATGAAAAAAATATCTATGACTTCTCTCCTACCCAAATCCATCTCACCTTTTCTCACAAACCCCCCTTCAACCCACTTCACCAATGTCTCTTTGTGACAAATTATCAAGCCGCCATAGAAGGGAAGCCACAGATAGCATTTTTTAGAGAGAGAAAAATGACCACCAAAATAAAATTATAATTATAATTACAAAACTTACTTCTTATTTTTTTTTGTCAAAAATAAGCACATATGACAAAAGGATAAAATAGGCACATGGGGGGTGGTTTATAGGCACATATGGGTGAGGGCGAAATGGGAATCAAAAGGATAAAATAGGATTTTTATATTTAGTTTTTGTCAAAATGTAGTCCGAAGGAGTTATTTGCACTTTTTTTTTTTAAATATTACGGACTAACATACACATTTTAAAAAAGTAAAGACTAATCTGCACAAATCTTTTATATCATGGGGGTTTTTGTACTTAATCCTAAATTTAATAAAGTTTGAGAGAGTAATAATATGATGATAACAAATTATCAATTCAAGACTAAATGATTACATGGAATAATCAATTTTTAGACTTAGGATCAATAAGACAAAGACAAAAAATAAAAAGAGACAATGATGTTGCAGGAATGATTGTGGAGTATGAACAAAATGAGGATGAAAGGGCAGATTTACCCTCAAATGCCTTTCCATTTCCCACACGCGATTGGTATGGGCTGGGAGCATGTCAGCCCGATCAGCCCATGTGGACGTCCACCAGCTCGACGTCCAACCAGATGCAGTCCGGCCCATGTACAAAAGAGGCCCAAACACGGTGCAACAAGGTAAAGACAAATGATGTATAAATAGGGTAAAAGAGGAGAGAAGAGGCAGTGTGTTTGGTGTAAGAGAAAAACTTTCCATCAATAGAAAAATAATTCTTGCATATACAGAGGACATGTTAGCAGTATCCTAAGAGATTGAACCCAAAAAAAAAAAAGTACCAAATAAGTTATAAGGAAAATCTTATAGGACAATTTTTAGGCCAATTACCAATGCATTCATGTAGCTGAATGAGAATCTTGAGATGGATGAAAGGGGTGATTAGAAGAGAGATTTATTACTCAAAATATAAAGGAGAAATTAGGAACAATCCCTATTAGTGACAAAATAAGAGAAAATGAAAATTACTTTCTAATTAAAGTGCAAGTGAAAGATTATAAATAATGCCTAATTAGTAACAAAAATAAGGGAAAGCAAGGCTTATGCAATATAGCCAAATAAAATGGAGACTTGCTGATGCACCAGTGAGAGAAGGCAGGTTAATATGCAGAGAAAGTAAGAGAGTGGATTGACCAGAACAGACTTAGATGAAATAATTATAAATGATTTTAAGAGTTAAATACGAGAGGTGTAATAAAATAGATCATGTTATCGACCATCACTTGGGATAAAGGATCCTGGATAAAGGAAAGGATCGATGATGACAACGATGACATGCGAAACAGGAATAAAAGAGAGTGCTAGATAAGTTGCTCATTTTATGCTACTATCATTCCACATCTCATCAAAATGCATGTTAGTAATGCACTGCTGCAGTTAGCCTAACTAAATCCAGTTGCAAAAGTAATAAATGTATGGCAATCCAAGGAGTTGATTTATTCCAAAGCAGAAAAAGCTAAAGGTTAATAGGTTCTCAAGTTTCTGCTCAATTGATAGAGCAATTTGAATAGATATAAACTAAGCTACAGAAAATCTATAAGCTGCTAATGACTTGGATTGGTTTGGCAGAATCGATCACTAGCTAAGCATGAGCACAAACTTATAAAGACAAAACCGATTCTACAAAATCTTGCTGCAGCTTGGATTTGACTGAAAGAGATCTACACCATGCCATGGAAGCTAGCTGATTCCAAGAGTACTGCTTTGATTTGCTCAGGATGGACGTCTTGACCTTCCTTCCAATGCTGAGAATAGAATACCATAAAAAATTAGTTCACTGTCTGTAGTCAAAAAGGTTATAGAATCAATAAGCCAGAGGTTTTTCTTCTTAGGATAGTATACTAAAGAAGAGTAGGATAGTATGTCCGGTTATGTCTGTTCAATTTTAGGTGGGAAACCATAGAAATATGCAGTGATAAAATCAATGAAAGATCTCAACAATGGATCATGAATGGTATTAATAATAGTCCACTTGGACAAATATAAGCAAGGATCTAAAACTTGTCTGGAATGAGAACTTATAAGCATCCAACTGATATCCATCAATAGGTGGTACCAAGCTCCTTGCCTGACTCAGTTGAAAAATTAAAATTTTCAGATCAACAATTCTAATTTTTAACTCATAGGGAAAATGGGATTCAACTTTTAATGTCTATTCTGAGAAGAGGGTGCCCGATGGGGGTGGGGAGAAGGCAGCTAGTTCCATGTGGAATGTTTGTATAGACTTATATGCTCCAAGGTTACAAATCTGAGAAAGGTCAAAGAAAAGTACCTCAGCTCGAAAGATATCCAATGCAAATCCATTGAAGGAGCTGATAACAGCTTGTTGGACATCTAGCCCAAGATTATCCAGAGCCTTCATAGTTGAGAGCAAGAGACCTGGTCTGCGGCCACAAAACATGTGGATTTTAACACCTCTTCCTTCTCTTAGCCTTACTTCTACCTAAAACCACATCAATATAGGCAATTGTCATTTTGAAAACTCTCTTGGATTATTAACAAGCGGATTCAGAATCTCATCCCCTACTGCAATACCACCAAGAAATATATACAAAACAAAAACTAACAAAGCAAGAAAGTAAGCATTGTTCAGGTAAAACAGTGAACTTTTTACCTTTGCAGGTTGTCCATTTGGGCTCAGAAAGGAAATCGGGCAAAGTTCTTCTTTGATACGGCAGGGCATGGTTGGAGCGGTGGGCGTCAAAGGATAGAAGGTTGTAGTGGGTGTCAATGAAGAACTAGGAGGAGTTGACTCCAGTTCGTTGTGGAGGTCATTAATCTTCTGCAGAAGGTCCTTCAAGTATTCAATTGCATCCCCAAGAATCGAAGCCCTGTCCATCTGTCAACACAAGAGAACAATGATCCACATAATACTATTGTATAGGGCACTACTACAATTTCAAAGCTTCAGAAGCATCTCATTACAGCTTCAATTGAACAGTAGCATAATCTGTAGTTCAAAGTTGCCTCATATTTTAATAAAAATTTCATTCGTTAGGCAGTTAAAAGTGCCAGCAGACAAACACAGTTATTTCCATACTGGAACTACAATGTTCACATGACCCAACAAGGTTTTAACTGATTTCAACAAGAAGTTGAATAAAGATGGCACTAGAGTATAAGCATTAAATTATGAAAGTGTGATTAAAAAGCAGACATGTCGTGAATGTTAGTGAGCTATAATTATGAAAATTTCACCAAAAGACACCAACTCCACTCAAACCGCCCCCCCCCCCCCCCCCCCCCCCAAAAGACAAAAAAAAAAAAAAAAAAAAAATCTCAGTTGCATCTCAACTCCATGTTGCATCATGAGAACGTTGTAGTTCCAGTATGGAAATAACTGTGTTTGTGTACTGGCACTTTTGACTGCCTAACTAATGAAATTTTTATTAATATATGAGGCGACTTTGGACTACAGATTATGCTATTGTTCAATCGAAGCTGTAATGAGATGCTTCTGAATATTTAAAATTGTAGTTGTGCCCTATAAAATGGTATCATGTGGAACAATTGCACCCCAAAAGTATATTTTGGAGTTTGAATCTGCAACAGCTCTTTACATTTAGTGGATTTTCCTCCTAGAGTTATGCTGTTTGATTCTGTGAGGAATTCTGCTGGAGTTGAGATGCAACTGAGATTTTTTGCTTTTAGTACAATGCCAGAAAGTTGGTGTCTTTTGGTGAAATTTTCATAATTATAGCTCACTAAAATTCACGACATGTCTGCTTTTTAATCACACTTTCATAATTTAATGCTTATACTCTAGTGCCATCTTTATTCAACTTGTGGTTGAAATCAGTTAAAACCTTGTTAGGTCATGAGAACATTGTAGTTCCAGTATGGAAATAACTGTGTTTCTCTGCTGGCACTTTTAACTGCCTAACGAATGAAATTTTTATTAAAATATGAGGCAACTTTGAACTACAGATTATGCTACTGTTGTATTGAAGCTGTAATGAGATGCTTATGAAGCTTTGAAATTGTAGTAGTGCCCTATAAAATAGTATTATGTGGATCGTTGTTCTCTTGTGTTGACAGATGGACAGGGCTTCGATTCTTGGGGATGCAATTGAATACTTGAAGGACCTTCTGCAGAAGATTAATGACCTCCACAACAAACTGGAGTCAACTCCTCCTAGTTCTTCATTGACACCCACCACAACCTTCTATCCTTTGACACCCACCGCTCCAACCATGCCTTGCCGTATCAAGGAAGAACTTTGCCCGGTTTCCTTGCTGAGCCCAAATGGACAACCTGCAAGGGTAAAAAGTTCACTCTTTTACCTGAACAATGCTTAGTTTCTTGCTTTGTTTGTTTTTGTTTTGTATATATTTCTTGGTGGTATTGCAGTAGGGGATGAGATTCTGAATCCGCTTGTTAATAATCCAAGAGAGTTTTCAAAATGACAATTGCCTATATTGATGTGGTTGATGTGACAATTGCCTATGTGTGATTTTAACACCTCTTCCTTCTCTTAGCCTTACTTCTACCTAAAACCACATCAATATAGGCAATTGTCATTTTGAAAACTCTCTTGGATTATTAACAAGCGGATTCAGAATCTCATCCCCTACTGCAATACCACCAAGAAATATATACAAAACAAAAACTAACAAAGCAAGAAAGTAAGCATTGTTCAGGTAAAAGAGTGAACTTTTTACCCCTGCAAGTTGTCCATTTGGGCTCAGCAAGGAAACCGGGCAAAGTTCTTCCTTGATACGGCAGGGCATGGTTGGAGCGGTGGGCATCAAAGGATAGAAGGTTGTGGTGGGTGTCAATGAAGAACTAGGAGGAGTTGACTCCAGTTCGTTGTGGAGGTCATTAATCTTCTGCAGAAGGTCCTTCAAGTATTCAATTGCATCCCAAGAATCGAAGCCCTGTCCATCTGTCAACACAAGAGAGCAACGATCCACATAATACTATTTTATAGGGCACTACTACAATTTCAAAGCTTCAGAAGCATCTCATTAGAGCTTCAATTGAACAGTAGCATAATCTGTAGTTCAAAGTTGCCTCATATTTTAATAAAAATTTCATTCGTCAGGCAGTTAAAAGTGCCAGCAGACAAACACAGTTATTTCCATACTGGAACAACAACGTTCTCATGACCCGACAAGGTTTTAACTGATTTCAACCACAAGTTGAATAAAGATGGCACTAGAGTATAAGCATTAAATTATGAAAGTGTGATTAAAAAGCAGACATGTCGTGAATTTTAGTGAGCTATAATTAGGAAAATTTCACCAAAAGACACCAACACCACAAAAACAAAAAAAAAAATCTCAGTTGCATCTCAACTCCAGCACAATTCCTCACAGAATCAAACAGCATAACTCTAGGAGGAAAATCCACTAAATGTAAACAGCTGTTGCAGATTCAAACTCCAAAATATACTTTTGGGGTGCAATTGTTTCACATGATACCATTTTATAGGGCACAACTACAATATTAAATATTCAGAAGCATCTCATTACAGCTTCAATTGAACAACAGCATAATCAGTAGTCCAAAGTCGCCTCATATATTAATAAAAATTTCATTACTTAGGCAGTTAAAAGTGCCAGTACACAAACACAGTTATTTCCATACTGGAACTACAACGTTCTCATGATGCAACAAGGTTTTAACCGATTTCAACCACAAGTTGAATAAAGATGGAACTAGTGAACAAGCACCAAATTATAAAAGTTTGATAAAAATGCAGACATGTCATGAATTTTAGTGAGCCATAATTATGAAAATTTCCCAAAAGACACAAACTTTCTGGCATTTGTACTAAAACCTTCCACTAAATTTGAGTGTTTCTGCAGTCTTCATTTAAGTATAAGTGAACGTATTTTGGGTCTTGGTTAAGAGTTTCTCTTCTCCCGCCCACCTCCCCCACAACCCCCACAACACCCCCCCCTCCACACCCACCTCTAGGAACAGCTGTTGCATATTCAAACTCCAAATAGGGTGCAATTGTTTCACAGTTTTCGAAGTGGTCCTCAAATTTGTGATTTGAGGAACTAAAGCTCAAATTAGTGTATATAAGAAATTTAAAATTCAATGTTTAGATACACCATCTGAGATACGGACACATGAATTTGAATTTAATGCATATAAAATTAAAATTTTAATTTAGAGAATGACAAATTGGTGGTGGTGGCAGGTGATGTGGGATGTTAAAGTGGTGTGGTGGTGATGGTAGATTGTTGGTGGAGGCAATATGATGACAGTGGCAAATGCAATCTATGGTGATGGTGGTGGTGTGTGGTAGTCTGGTGGCAAGGGAGGAGTGTTAAAAATGACAACTCGATGGTGAAGATGATAGTAACAATGATGATGGTGACGGCAGCCGGCAGCAACAGTTGTGATGGGGTAGATGGTTGTGCAAGCATGGGAGTGGAGGTGGTAATAATGGTAACTGATGGTACTGGTGGCAGCAATTTTGGCTATGGTATAGGTGATGGACCTAGTGGTACCTCAAGAAGAGTTGGGACCTCACATAGGCAATGACAGAAGAAAATGACCTTCGATGATATTGATAGAAAACCACAGATCTGTCAGTTAGAAATATAAAATTCAATTTGAGATTCAGTGTACCAAAAAATAACACCACACATAAATATTCACATTCATTTTAATATTTAAAATGACTTTATCCTTGTATGATAAAGTTTCATTTCTTTCTGTGGTCCAACAATTTGAGTCAGTTTTTAAAACCACTTCACCAAGTTCATGTGAGTGAATTTAATGCTAACATTCATATCAATTCACATACCTTTTGAAACCATGCAAAACAAAAAAAAAAAAAAAAAATGCAACTAATCAAACAAAGTGAGTAATGGAAAAAACTACATAATGAAAATGAGAAGCCAAAACATATTAACAATTTATACTGTAATTTATGAAATATCGCTGCAAGGAAATTCTGATAGTCATAATCAAGTCATATACCTTCAGAATTCATGCAAAACAGGAGATGCAACTAATCAACCAAAATGAGGAAAGGATAGAAATGCATAAATGTAAAAGAGAACGAGAACGACCTAAAGTTTAACAACAATTTATACCATAATTAAAGACATGAATGCATGAAAATTCTTACCTTGCTTATCTTTGGGACAATAGACCTCAGCATGTAAAGCCTATCATTGAGCTTCTTCCGGCGGCGCCTTTCAGCCATCAAATTTTTAGCTGGAAGCCCCTTCTTCTTCCCTTTCTGATCACCACCAGTGACGCTACCATTCTTGATACTCTCTTCCCCCTTGACGTTCTCTGTAAATTCATCAGAATCATAATTCAAACCCGACCCATCAGTGGTCACATCTTCCACATCATTCCAGTTGCTGTTCTTCCTTTTTTTTCCTATCACTTCACCCACTTCCCTCTTCCCATTGTACCCTTCATCATTACCAAAATCCCTGCTACCTTCAGTAGCCAAAACCCCCAAATTGCCACCATTATTGGTCAAATTCCTCCGCAGAGCCGCTCTTTTCTGAAAAAGAGTGGGCTGTGCGCTAATGGAATCAAAATTCTCCAGTGGTTTCAACAGGTTAGACCTATTCAGAAACAAAGAATTACCAGAACCCTCTTCAAGACCTCGAATTCCCGTCCAATTGAAACCGGAACTGGCCGTAACGTTGTTTCCGGTCAATTGAAGCAAATGGGTACTTGAGAAGTGGTGATCTGAGGTCAAGTTGGGAGTACCCATCAGGGTTTGTGAACTTAAATCGGTGAAACCATTCAAAACCCCACCTCCATTGTTCAAAGCACTCAAGGCTTGGGTATTCTCAAGAAACCCAGTTTCGCAACCCAGATCGAAACTAGTATCTAATGGGTTGTTAGGAATTACAGTGAGGTTTGATGGGATGGTTGGCTTTGGAGGCAAAAAGTACTGTACCTGAGATGGATTGAGATTGTTGAACACTGAAGCTGATGATGGTGAACAAGAAGAGGACGAGTCCACCGGTTGTAACAGCAGATTGTTATCAGCTTCAGCGAAGTTTGGTGAGAAGGTGATGTCTCTGATGTCATGGTGGTTTTGGATGTCATTGTTAGTTACGTACCATTCTTCGCTTCCAACGTCAAGCAAGGATTTGAATGTGGGGATTGAATCCATTTCGTCTTTGTTCTCTACAGTTCCTTTGTTGTTGTTTCGAGCCCATGAAGCTGTTTCTTCACCATCTCTATCTTCCATCCAAACAACGCCGTTAACTTCTGATAACATGATTTTTCGGAGTTTCTTTGATGGGTATTCTCGGCAATCTGAAGGAAAATAATGGAGCAAAGTAAAAAGTAGAATTCAGATCAGGGGAGAGAGAGACGTTATAGAAAGAAATGGAGAAGAGGACATTGCAGAATGAACAGGGCAGTAGCTTTTTCAGACGTCATATTTGAGGCAACTGTGACACATATAGCTGTGAACGTTACGTTTTCAGGGCTGTTATGATTGTTGTAGAATCATATAAATATATACATATACATATATATATATATATATATGCCCACAGCAAGACACTTCTTTTCCGTGCAAAATCTACGAGAACATCATTTAGATTAACAATTTAAAAAAAAATTTCTTAAGACATCAAAATAAATTCTCTTTAACGATGGAGTGATTTATTAATATATTTAATTAACTTTTAACATATATCAACAACTCCTGTAATTAGAGAGAGCTTAAAAAAATAATAATAATAAAATAAATTAAAAATTAAAAAGAGTTTTTCTATAAATTATAAATATTGTGAAAGGGGCTCTCATGTAAACTCTTCATCCTTATTTGTTATGATACTTGACCACTCGTCGTTCGTAGGATCAAATGCAATATGATGTCACAGAATAGATCGAATTGGTAAGGGTATGAGCTCTCAATATTTATATAAATATATTTAAGGTAATTATAGTGATACCCCATGTAGTTTTGTCTAATTATAATCTGAAAAGTATTATATACCCAGGTATGATACCAGGGGACGGTGGGAGCCGTTGGACCATTGATAGGGTGGTGAGCCCACCACATGCAAAGGTTGGAATGACCCCGGGATACCATATCTGGGATATTTAATATTTTCTTAAGTCGGTGATATTTATGCCTTTATTACACTAACTTTCCCTATTAGCATCTGACAAGTATATGATATTAAATTGAATGGTCAAATAACAATTTTAACCTTACTTTATTTAATGACATCTAATCCAAAAAAAACTAAAAAAAGTCCATAAAACTAAAATTATTATAATCTTAAATAAATTATATTTATACTCTTAAAATAAATGGTAAAATTACATGTGTCCTTTTCATTCATTCCTTCTCTATGTGTATTCACCATGTCATCATCTTGTAAGTTTCCCCTATTGTATTTATACAAAATCAAATTTCATGAATCCTTTGTTTTTGTATCGAAGGGGTACTCTTTTTTTTTCTTTTTCTTTTTTCACAAATAGGGTGTAAGAAACCTAATTATATGTTAGCAATTTTCATAGTTGTCGAACCTAAATGCAACATGGTGGCTACCACCTATGATTCTTGTGAAAAGACCAATTATTGTGTGTTTGGAGTCGCCACCAAACATTAGATTATGGTGTCTTAGATCACTTATGGACGTCTAAGATTATGTTAGTGTGCTTGGTTATTTAGACACTTTCGAGCTCTAAACGTGAGCCTTTGATATGTTAATTTCTACCCAATCTCCGTGAACCAAATTAGTGGATTTAGGAGTTTGATTATGCATACAGAATCTATTAAGAAACCCCCCCCCCCCCCCTATCTATGGTACGGATGGTTACCTACTTTTCATGTCGCTAAGTAGATTAAAGCGTTTTACAAAACTTAAGATGTAGCATCTAGGGATGCTTGATTTATCATAACCTTAAAAGTTATACCATATCAATAAGTGATAAAATCTATGCCTTGGTAGGCGTATGTGAATGTGTGAAATTGAAAATTGAATTGAACTATTTGTTTTAAAAAAGTATATTGATGTGTGAACATTTGAGCTATTCAAAATTTGACTTGAAATCAATTTGAAAAAATAGTGTTTGATTTGAAAAGAGTTATTTGGCATATGAGCCTTACAAAATCCTTTTGACTCTAAAAATTGAATTTGAATTGAAAAAGTCTTAAAAATGAGTGAACTTGAAAAGAGTTTTGATTTGTATCAGGAGTTAATTTACGAGCCTTAAGTTGATTTGAGTGTTTCATGGTTCACATGTGAGTTAATATTATGAGTTTCGAACCTAAGGGTACACTTACTCGTGAGTTTGACTTGGGATGGACTTAACATGTGTAAGTAATGAATGACTAAAAAATACAAGTCTTAATGACTAGTGTTCGATGTGCCTAAATTGTTGATGACTTGAGAATGCGAATATGAGAGACTCGTGTGAAGATGTTTGAACTTAGGTCTAACTAGCGTAGGTATATAGGTTCTTGAATAACTTGAGGATGACCTAAAAAATCATGTTCATGTTGGGATTCATATGCCCTGACATTGTGAATTCTTATGTGGATTGTATAGACATTGTTATTTATCTGAAATGACATTTATGTATTGTACAATTGGTGAATATTAATGTATTATGTTTTGATTCATGATAGAATTAAATATGTCCACTTGATTACAAAAGATACTTATATGTATTTGATGACGATCAATACAAGAATATAAATAGTGATCATAAATAGTTCATAGTAAGTAAGTAAGGATGGAAACTATATCCGCGATAGATTGAGATATATTGCGAAAGCTATCGTATGCAATTCTTCTCTATCATCATCATGGTATTTGATTCTCAAGCACGAGAGAAGTATAAACTATTTTATTAATTAGTAATTACTTTGATTTGTTCGACGGAGCCTACAGGATCCAATGACCGATACATTGATAAATTATGTAATTAATAGTTAGAGGGTTACTATAATGACCCAATCTAGTAGATCTGGACCGATGTCGGGTGGTGTAAACATAAGCCGAGTTCCTACCAGAACCCGAGGTTAATTCAGGGGCAAAATGGTCATTTTAAGGGTAAGATAGAGAAGTAGTTTGACTCTAAATGAGTCTAAGGAAGTCAATCTAAGTCTTCATGGCCTTATAAACTCATTTCGTAAGGTTCTAGGTGCAAGAACAATGTTTTCACACAATTGGCCCTTTTTGGTTTAGAAGATTTTCAGATTATCCCATACTAAAGTAGTCATAACTTCCCCTACAGTTGAAATATTTGGATGTGGTTGGTAACATTGGAAATCTGACTCAAAAATCTTAAAATTGGAGTCAAATTTGACCCCATTTAGAGTTAAAATGAATGAGATATGATCATTTGAAGTTGGTCATGAAAGGTGGTGAACTAGGTAGTTTCAGTCAACTGAAATGATCTATCAACCGGCTGAAACTATAGGATCAGTCAGCTGACAGTGATGGTCAGCCGGTTGAAACAATGGTCAAGGGTGCAATCATTTTATTTTAGCCATTGGTTGGCTGGTGGAGTGTGCCAGCCGACTGGTAGCACATGGTAGTGTTAAAAATGATCCTGAATGAGTGATTTTGGCATTGGGTAACCCCATAGTATCAATGGCGGCCACAAATATGGTCTTAAACCTGCCCCAAATGATCCAAAAACATACAAAATTCATGAAATAAACAAAATGAACATCATACATAAGTCATGCATTAGGTTCCAAGTTCCTATTTACCAATTTACATGGTCCAAAAATCAAAGAAAGAGTATAAATCCTATTAAGACTTTAAGAGATGTTACCTAAGTCCTAATACCATTTCCCCCTTCAAAATACATGTGAGATTACCAAATGTATGCTAGTCACCAAAATACATCATTGTGTCAACTTATAAACATATCCCCACTTCGATATAAAACACATAAGTCTAAAAAATATTACATCAACAAAATAGTTTCACAAAAGCTTCAAGGTTGGTCTTGAGGGGTCTCCTCCATAATCAGTCTATTTCCTGAAATATTATAAATAAAGGGTGAGTGATAGTCGCTCAGTAGAGAAAACATATATGGCTTCTCCTCAAGTCATGTAAGTAAAACAAATAACATATAAAAGCATTATAGAGTGAAGAGGGATCATGCTAGGAATTTCAAGTCATAACTTAACTCATCATGTAAATCTTTGGAATTTAGACAATGTAATGTATGTAATGCATCATGAAAACGCATCCCACTAACCCCAACCAACTACAAACACACCCCAACCGAATACGTACTAATTAACCGGACTTTTGGTACCTCCCGCCATCCCTAGGGGGAACTTGCTATTAGCCCTAGTAAAGGGTGACTCCCAACTACCATTTGGGGCTCGAGTCGCTAGGTTACTCACGGGTACCTCCCATGCCCATATTAGCTAATTAGTACCACCAATAAAGGGGTACCTCCCCAATATTGGGTTTGAGAAAACCTTTTCTCCACAAAATTTTTAAATTCAATCTTCACCTCCCTACACACATCACCACTCACACAATGCAATGAGAAGATGTGAATATATGGCAACATGCAGCAATATGTCACTTATGCTAATTTCATCAACTCATCATGTTCATAGTACCAAATTTGAATTTTCACATGAAAACAATTCTGTACAATAACTTAATCAAACAATTGGTATACTAGATAAGATACAACTGAATTTCAAAATCATTCATCTCAATTTCACATAATACGTACAACCTTTCAATTAACATGCTTAGTAAACAAATCATCACATTTTAAGCACATGAAAAAAAATTAATATCAACTTGAAGAATGATTTAAACAAATGATAGTTACACATTCACACCCTAACTCAAGGTCATCAAATTTCATTAAGATTGATCATGCTATCAAGGGGAAAACAAAGAATTACTTACAAGGACCTAGAATTACACAAGTTAGACAAACCATATCTCAATGTATGCAAAAACCCCAATTTTGAAATTCTCAAGGTCCTCTAAATGCAACTTTGTTCAGATCAAAATGAAGCTCTCATCGAGCTCTATAAGATTGCCTTCAATGGCTTTGAGAGATTCCAAGTGGAAATAGATGAATCCAAGCTTTTTTGTGTGTAAAAATGGAGTCTTTTAAAGAGAGGGGGAATATATATAGAGCGAGAAGTCTTGCATGGCTGGGAGAGGAGAATAAGTGCATAAAATGTGACTTCTAGTCCCCTTATCACATGCTTGGTCAAAGGTGGGCTCACCAAATGTCCAAAGTGCCCTCTCATGGCTATATCACTCCAATTATGCCACAAATGTATATCTAAACACATAAACTCACAGATATGCATCAAATAATAATTATGAAATGCACATGGACTCAAAAGGATTACCCGGGCACGAAAAGTCCGGGTGTGGGGCCCACACGGAACCTCCGAGCCCGAAAATTCGATAAATGCTAAAATGTGTCAAAATACATTTCTAAAAGTTCTAAACTCAAAAAAAAAAAAAAAAAAAAAAAAAAAG